AAAAAATTACCAAAGTTAGCCTCTTAAATTCATGTTTACCCTGATTTTCAGAAGCGTGCAGCACTGGAAATTCTTCATATGAAATATTTTGGAGTGAAAAGTGCAAGTTTGGCAACACCAAAACATTTTTGTGAATTTGTCTCAGTTTGCTGAATTGTTTAAATAAATAAATAAATAAATAAAAAATTTTAAAAAATTGAAGCTTTTCATTTTCACATTTTCTGAATGAAATGTTTCAATTTTTCCATTCAAAATGACTTTTTTGTTTCAAAATTTCCTTTAATTTTATTTAAAAAAAAACCCCAAGCTTTTAAAAATGGTCTAAATTGAAACAAAACATTTTGTTTGACCCCCAGATAATTTGTTTTGATGAAAATTAAAAAAAAAAGGGGTTGATTTGATTTGAAGCAATTCCCTTCCCCACCGTGCACCCCACCAATTTTTGGGACTATCCAGTACACCGACAAATCCATTATTTGCAGAGCTCTACTCGGCACCCAGGAGCTCTCTTTGACTTTTTGGCCAATAGAGGCATTCCTGTCCCGACTGCCAAGAGCAATGGGAAAATAGACCCCAAGGGTCGCAACATGGAGTTAGACTGGGGCTAAGTTTGACTCATAGCGACCATCTACATTGTCAGTGGGGTGACACAGTAACAATTGTACTCCTGAGATGTTGCTGGCTCCCAAGGTCTTGATTTGGAAAAAAACCCACCCTAGCTTGTTGTTAACTGTAACACTTTATGATCAGATGCTACACCAATGCCACCATGCTCATTGGCTCCCTGTAGTGTCCCTTTGTTATAACCTTTCCTTTAAGAGCCATTAGGAGGAACTAGATTCAAAGTGCTTTCTGACAATCCTTTCAAACCCAGGAGCATGTTCTGTGATTCACTGGAGTGTTGTCATCTACTTTACGCTCATGCTTTCTTGTTTTGGTCCCTGTCAGCTGAATTTGTTTTCTGGTTTGCAGATGCTTAAGGATGGCCAATAATAGGAAGACGCTATGAAAAGGGTAACGTGGATTTGGAGTGGCTGTTAGCCAGGGTGGCCTGAAAAGCAATGCTATGCCAAAGCTACTGGCACAATAGCACCTCAGTGTGTGATCTTGTCATACCTTGTGCTGAGCAGGGTTGGGAGACTTGTGATGGGAGTCAGGTGGGAGAGGCAGTGATGTTAGAGATGATGGATGAGTAAGTGCCACTCTTCCCTCTGACCCAGTATGTAGCCACCGTGTGCTGTCAGGAGTTGCCGTGGTCATTAAACGTCCTGTGGGAATTTTTGCCATCCTTACCAAACTCCAGCCTGGGGGGAATTACATTCTGCCTGCCTACAGAGCTCCAGCGAGATGATGCAGTCTCACAGTGTGAGGTACCAGAGCTTAGGCTTGTTCATAGCACGGACCACATCTTAAGAGCCAGATCGTCTCATGGACACCTCCCTAGCCTGGATCCCTTCCCCTTTCATTTGCGAGCAGATAGCAACTCTAGCAATTGCTTACTTGGACAAGTAACAGTCGTAACGCATTTAGGGCATTCTTAGCTTCTTTCAATGCGATTTAACAGCTGCAACTAAGGAGAAGGAGCTAGCACCATGTGGCCAGCCGTAGAAGACAAGTGTGGACCCTCTAGGCTAGTTGTATGCTCTCTGTTGCTTTATTAATGTGAATGTTTGAAGTGTGTGACACCCTGACAGTCAAGCTGTGCCTCTGTCTTCTCTTTTGGTCTCTCAGATCCATGCAGGTGCAGGGACCTTTTGCCACTCACCATTCACTGCAGTGGACTCCTGCGATTCTCCTGCTCTTAGACCGAGACCAGATTATGCTGCCTTAAGTGCACAGACTCCTTTTCACTTACAGGGCCCTTTCTGATGATGCCTGCAAGGTAACCTCTTCCTGGAGACGGGTGACTGTGGCAATTCTCCAAGCAACGAGCAGCTATAGTTTGACAAGTTTTATTTAGGAGATTTAGAAAGCATAGAGAAGACAAAAGTGATTCAGCAAAGAAACATGTATCTATGTTGGGGCTTCCCTCCTCGCTATCTTAGATGGGCCGTGTTCTCCAATTGCAGGACAAGAACGGAACCAACTCACCTGTAAAAATGTAAAGGTCTCCCCTGGTCAGAGTTAACAGCCTCTCTTGCGGCTGCCCTCGATACCCACCTCTGTGTCTCTCCCCAAAGAAGCCCATCCTTCGTGACAGTTCTCGACATGATTCCATTAACATAGTCTTTGTCTCCGCTACATCTCTGTCAAGTATCTTTCAGAGTTTGTCTGGGACATCAAAGTGGGTGGTAACGGTATTGTTTTATGGCTTTTGTCCATAGCCCAACTTCTCCATCTCTAGCAGTGATCAATCTTCCCCCTGCTCTTTGCGGTATGCTTCAGACAGGACACAGGAATCAGATGTAGGTTTCATGCCCAAATGACAATTAATTTACCCACTTTGTCCCAAAGGCCAATTCTTGTTGTGGATTAGACCTGGGGCAGGCAAACTTTTTTTGGCCCAAGGGCCACATCTGGGAGTAGAAATTGTATGGCGAGTCATGAATGCTCACAAAATTGGGGTTGGTGTGTGGGAGGGGGTGAAGGCTCTGGTTGGGGGTGCGGCCTCTGGGGTGGGGTGAGGCTGGGGCTGAAGAGTTCAGGGTGTGGGAAGGGGCTCCGGGCTGGGGCAGGGGAGTGGGGTGCGGTGGGGTGAGGGTTCTGGCTGAGGGTGTGGGCTCGGGGTGGGGCTGGGGATGCGGAGTTTGGGGTGTAGGAGGGTGCTGGGACCGAGGAGTTCAGAGGGCAGAAGGGGGATCAGGGCTGGGGCAGAGGGTTCGGGTGCAGGAAGGCGTGCAGCCTGGGGGTGCAGGCTCTGGGGTGGGGCTGGGGATGAGGTGTTTGGGGTGCAGGAGGGTTCTCTGGACTGGAATCGAGCAGTTTGGTGGGCGGGAGGGGGATCGGGGCTGGGGCAGGGCATTGGGGTGCAGAAAGAGGCTTGGGGGTGCAGGCTCTGGGTGGTGCTTACCTCAAGTGGCTCCCGGAAGCAGTGGCATGTCCCTTCTCCAGCTCCTATGCGGCGGTGCGGCCAGGTGGCTCTGTGCGCTACCCTGTCCACAGGTACCGCCCCTGCAACTCCCATTGGCTGCAATTCCTGGCCAACGGGAGCTGTGGGAGTGGCACTTGGGGCGGGGGTAGCATGCAGAGTGGAACCCCCTGAATGGCCCCTTAGCATAGGAGCCGGAGTGGGGCCATGCTGCTGCTTTTGGGAGCTGCATGGAGTGGCCCCCAACCCTGCTCCCTGGCTGGAGTGCTGGAGTGGAGCAAGCCCCAGACCCCGCTTCCCAGCGGAAGCTTGAGGGCCAGATTAAAATGGCTGGTGGGCCAGATCCAGCCTGTAGGCAGTAGTTTGCCCACCCCTGGGTTAGACGCTCTTGGGATAAAGAGACTGACTGACCTGGATTGAGCTGTTATTCTCTTTTAATTACATTACATAACATGCAGCCCCCAAAGGGGGTCCAAGTGACATGAGATGGGGGATCTGCAGGTAAGTGGGAGTAGGAGACTGGGAAGTCAGAGAGGCAGGGTTGGGGGCAGAGGCGATCCACAGCGCTGGAAAGATCACCAGGGAAAAAGGGATGGAAGAGAGGCAATGATCTGCAGCGCCTCCTTTGTTGTTCCAGGTCTCACCTGCTGAACTAAAGTTTCCCCACATTTGTTAATGGCATTTTTCAGAGTCTGTGTGATTCCCCCCTTTCATTCTCAGCCTGGTCGCTGTCTGAAGGCGAGGCGATCAGCTGCTGATTATGGATAGGAACCTGCTTCCATTTACCATCTGCATCCTCACAGCTGTGCAGCAGTGAAGACAACCAGGTGCAGGACTTTAAGCAAGAAGAGGGGGAAGAAGCGGATTGCCAAGGGGCCCTTCCTTGAGTGTCCTGTCCTAGGGCCACTCACAAGCAAGTGTCCTCTCCTGGTGAGTGTGTCTTGCAGGTCCCCCTCCGAGCCGAGCCACAGAGGATATGAATTGTTACAGCCTCAGCTGCTGAGCCTTGGCTCTGGGGGGGGCATCACATAAGGACTTATACCCCCATTCTGTGCAGCCCCTGAGAGGAGGCCAAGCCATACCAGCACTCTGTGCAGCACCATCCAGGCCAGGTTGGGATCGACTCTCTCTCTCTCTCTCTCTCTCTGTCAAGCCTGCCGGTTGCTCTGATGCGCTCTATAATGCAGCCGCTGTCTCACTAGAGACTGAGTCCCACCCACGTACTTCCCACCTGAATCGGTTTTGCGCCAGTGATCAGGGTGGTGAAAGGCTTCATAGCTTATTACCCCTACCCAGTCTCCCGTAGCATGTCCTCTGCACCAGGAGGCAGAGATGGAGCTTGTGTGTGTTCGAATGCGCTGTGCATTCATCTTCATCCGAGAAGAAAACAACGAATCCTTTCCACATCCCTGAATATCTCTCTCATCTCCCTCCAGTTTCATTTGTTTCTTTCCTGTAAATAACTGGACCCATCAATAGCTATTAGTGGCAAAAAACCAACCCTTTCCACTTACACATTCTCATTGCCTCCATTGAGCAGTAAGCACCATGAGTCCCATTTATAAAGGGTGAAACTTGCCCAAGTCCACAGGCCGCTGGGAGAGCCAGGAAAAGAATGCAGATTTCCCGAGTCTCCGCCGTGCGCTCAGGCCAGCTTGTCTGCAGCTAGCATTAAAAATCATCCAAAAGCAGAGACGTGAGGGCTGCTCTGAGGAAAACCTGAGCCTCACTCCCAGAGCCTGGTAAGTTTCACACAGTTATCCCAAGGCAGCAAAAGGAGCAAAGTCCTGAGCTTTAGCCCCTGCACTCATCAGCATGAAAAAAACATAAGTGTGAATCAAACAACAGGCTTCAAATAGGAACTGCGATGACTCTAATTTGTATGTACCATTATTTGATGTTCTAACCTACCAGGTTTAGGGTAAACCACAGTGGAATATCAAGCAGACATTAAATGAAACCATGTCATTAATTCAATTCAACGAGATATGTTTTATATAACAAAGGGATTTGTTCTGATTCTCAAACAATGTATATTAATGAAAAAGTCGAAATAGATTCATTTTGTTCTCAGAGCAAACACATTGAGGAAAGCCATCAAGAAGTAAAGAACATGGCTTTTTTTTTTAAACTGTGCTTTATTTAGGGCTAAGCTGGAAAGCGTCATTCAATAATTACAGAAGATTACAAGGAGTTTTAGGGAATTGAGAGTGAAAGAGCAGTTGTATGGAACTGCAGCTGCATTACACATCTGTACCTCCTGGCTGTGGGCTCGTTTCTGCTGTCCTTACTCAGATGAAACACCCGCTGTCACCCAAAGGGAGTTTTGCCAGAGTAAGGGCAGTAAGATCCGACCCAATAAGGTGTTAAAAAAAGGCCAAGATAACAATCACATTATTTAAAAAGCAAACAAAAACCAACCCCAAATCAATTAAAACAAACTAAGATTTAAATGAAGAATCAGAAATAATCATCACACTCTTCTTAGTTCAACTAAAACGAATGAGAATGATGCAAATCAAGTCTGAATACAGTGGAAATAAATTATAATAAATATGATATACTTTAAAATATATGTGTTTTTAAATAATTCATTGTTTTTCTGATTCAGTTTTTCAAAGCAATGTCTTATTTTTTAACTGCTCTAAAGTCATTTACCAAAGATAAATATCGTGCTTTCATTAAATAGTTTTCCTTGTTTTTTTCTCTATCATTACAATTAAAAGTCCTACAAAATATGCAAATTTATTTACAGAAAAACAGAGCCAGCATCTCTTTTTTTTTAAACATCCCCCTGTTTTTCAAAATTCCTTGTAAACAGTTTCAGAAATTCTTCAAAGAGATTGTTTGTTTTTTTATGTTATTTTTTATTTTTATTTTTTTATATTATTTTTTCTTTTTTAAGATTAAGGTTCTAGGCTAACCCCTTGCCCTGAAGGTTTCTAGAGCAAATATGGAAGCTACTGAAGCAGAGGATGATGGGAATTTGCGGACAGCAGATCATGAAGACATGAAGCGTGTAGCTGGGTTTTGTTGTTCAAGTTAGAACGGCATCTGATAAAAAGACAGCTGTTTTGTTTCCCATTTGCGTTGTCTACAACAATCGAGTTTTGTTTGTTTATTTTTGTTAATAGCTGGAATGCTTGCAGTTAAAAAAGCTGCCAAAATAGCCATTTCTCTTCTTTTTCTCCTCGATAAATAACAGCATCCAACAGCAGTTGGCAGAGAGTAGGAATTTATGCTCAGTCTAAACTCTACAAAAATTACAATTCTACAACATCTTTGTTTTTAGCATTAACGCTAACTTCTATGTAGTTTTTTTTTTTTTTGCTTTTTGTTGTCTAATTTTTTTTCTATGATATAGGTATTTTAAAGTTTTTTTCTTTTTTAAATTCTGTACAACTATTAGGATTTTAAATGGGGAGAGTTAGAAGCATTTACAAACCTTTTTTGTTTTTCACTATCAACCATCTTTCTTTTCTCTTTGCTATGCCTTTTTATTTATTTACTTTACTTTTTTTTTTTTTTTTGCTTTTCACAGACATCATCTTACCTGCTTTGAGCAGTGCGATTCTTACGTATTATACAGAAAACCATATGAAAGTTTCATAGACTCTAATTAATGTATAACCAAAGAACCTCCCAAAGTATCAAAGAACTATTATCTTGCCATTTTAAAAGCATTTAAGCATTTTTTTTTAATTTTTACATATTTCATATAATTGCTCTCAAAAACTGTTTTAGGAACAGCTCAGAGAAAAGCAAAGAACTTCCATATTTTACATACAGCTACAAGTCTGCGATAAAAAGTTTTGTCCTTTGGTCCCTATATAGCTAAGGAATGACAGATAAAGATGCTCAGTGACCGTTACCATGGGGTCAACATGGTAGCCGCATCCTTGGTGGCAAACAGGCACTCCTTTGTCCGTATCCAGGTTTGCATTTCCTGTTTGGAGAAAAGCCGCTGTGGTGATATCAATGTCTCTTCAGAAATCCTGGTTGATCTTGTTCCTGTTCTGATTTATTTATTAATTTTTGTTTGTTTCCAGCCCGTGTCCTTCGAAGTCAGCAGACGTGATACTTTTCTTGAAGAAATGTTACAGTCTAAACAATCAAAGAGAGAATAAGTCTGAAGTCTTCAGCTTGATTGATATTTGCTGATATGTCAAAGGTGTAATCCAACAGTTCCTGTTTTTTTAAAATATATATATATATATTTTTCTAAATGTGGCCCATTCAGCTGCTGCCCTAAAAAAATGAAGAAGATCATTGCAAATTAAACTAAAAAGGCAAAGTAAACAAATAAAAAAGGCCTTAAAAATAAAAATAAAAATCCTATTCTTTTGGGCCTAATCCTGCTTCCATTGAAAGTGAATGTGTTTCGCTCTCAGATTCAGTGGAAACAGGACTGAGCTCTTGCTCTGGAGTTTGTTTTTGAGGTATACTCCCACTAAAGTCAATGGAAAGATTCTCATGGACTTCACTGGGAACTGGCTCAGACCCAAAGTGAGCAAGGCAGTCAAGATCATGATAAAGAAAAATACAATTGCTCCTTCTGCATTTTTAATAATAATGATATATATCCATAGAAATATATATACTCACATCTATATATATGTACAGATATATACTTTGTAAAGTGGCACTTAAAAGAAAAAGCCAGATCACAATCTTGCTTGGTTGGACTTTCTAACGTGTGAAGTCTCTAGGAAAAATTACTCTAAATTTTAACCGTGTGCTGTATATGATGATATATGGACTTCCCATGGAGAAACAGCTGTCATTAATGTATATTCCTTTGTGAATGTCAGAAAGTAACACTTTGAACAGGCAATTCATGGGAGGTAAAAGGAAAAATAATCAGTTGGAATGAACTTTTGAAAAAAATAGTAAAGCTAACATTTCTTAAATAAAAAAGTTATTTAAAAAAATTTAATCATGATCCGACTAGACTTGACATTTAAGTAGGATGCTTAATCATTACGGATTAGCTCTTATCTCTTTCTAGCAAGCAGGTTCTTCTTATACACTCGGTGATTTATTACATCAAGAAACTTAGAAACTGCAAAAGGTCCACTCTGGTGGAAAAGTGTCATGCGGAATATCAATCCATGCTGGCAGGTTTTTCACACTGTTGGTTCAACAAACAGCAAACCGTACACAGCAGTCTAAACAATTACAACACCAAAAATAATAAGAATAAGAGAATAAAAAAATAAAAAAACACTCGTCAAGGACCCTTTTTCAGTTGTAAACAAAAAGATGCATTTTGCTTTTTTATCAGGATTATTTTTTCCCCCTCAAAACAATCCCTCCCTTACCCCAAACAAATAATTTGTCAGGAGTGGCTGGAATGTGGAACCTTAGATTTAGGAATTCTTGAAAAGGCACACAAGAGGCCGCAGGCTTTTCTCTAGGTTGCTTTTTGGTTGGATAGCTATTGTTTTTACACGACTGTTACTATCATTACTTTTTAAAAAAATTTTGGAGAGTGATTTGAAATATCCGAAGGGAAAAAAAAAGGTGTCAATTGAAAAAGGCCCCCAATTCTCCGGAAAAAAAAATAAAATCACAATATTTTTCAAGTGCAAAAAAATCAACCACGCGTTTTCTTTTTTCATTTTTTGGTAAAATATTTGTACAGTTATAACAATCCCATTTGCTAAAGAATTAGGAATCCATCTTTTTTTTTTTTCCTTCTATGTGACATCTAAAGAAGCATAAAACGCTGACGAGAAATTAAACGACAAATAAAGAAACCACTGCAAGCACCAAACAAAACAAAAATGAGCACAGCAAAAAATCGTGGCAGCACAAAGTCAAAAAAGGCACATGTGATCATGACTGGCCAATCATCAACTGATACAACATCCAAGAAAAATACGGCACCTGCACGAAACTTGACGGCATGTCATGCAACCAATTCTTAGCTTGTTACATGACGCCATCATGTCACACTTTCAACTTCGAGTTGATTTGAACTTACGGACTGGGGGACTGTATTCTCCACTTTCATGTCATTACGTGAACTTTTTTCCTAGCTCAGCTCGAGACTGTGGTGGATTTGACTGGCTCTTGGTTGGTTTTGTTGGAATTTGATTGAATGACAAAAGAAGAAAAGATTTTTTTTATATATATATATATATTTATATATAGTGTGGAAAAAGGGAAAGGTGGGGGAAGAAGATATATATCAAAATAATAATAGAAATAATAAAAAAAAAAGTACCAAACAGCATCCGTCAAAAAGCTCTAGTGAAAATACTTGCGATTAAACGATAAAAACGAAAGAAGGAAAATGAAACGAAAGAAAGAGGGAAAAATAATGGAGGAGGCCTAGCAGGGGACAAAGACATATTACACACAGTTTATGTGGACACATGAACAACAGTGAACAGGAACAAAACATTATGCCGTGGCTGCTGAGGAGAGCATGCGCTGAATGGATGAGAGCACACACAGATCGGTTTGCGGCTGGAAAATACATTTGCTGCCAACCGCCGTGGTTTTGTTCAGACCGTCTTTCCCAGGGCCACCCCTCCCCACGAACTCCCGGGAAGTGGCTCTTCAGTAAGGGGTTGATTCACAGCCCATTGGAGCCTTTCCGTTGACTTCAATGGGCTCTGGATCAGGTTCTCCGCTGCTATGTTTGCAGCTGAAAAGCTAAAGGGCTGGTGGAGTAAAAGAAGAGGGACTGCTTTGGTTGTTGAGAAAAAGGAACTAGCGTCTGTCCCTTTAAGGGGTTGTATGATGAGAAGCTCAGAACAGCGGCACAGCTGGTGTGGTTATGTGAATTTACTCCCCCGTTGTTTTGATATGGCCTAAAAAACCCCCAAAATTCCACCTAAAGGCCTGATCCCACATCCTCCCTCAGGCAAAATGCCCCCTGGACTGCCCATATACTCCTGACCCTGCAGTCCTTACCAGGAAAAACTGCCTTTAACTTGCTCTGGGAGTTTTGCCTGAATGAGCACTACAAGGATCAAGTCCCTAAAAGTCACTGCACACAATGAAACATAAAGTAGCGGGCTTAACCAACAGCTAGAAGTACTGTACTTCAAGTGTTTGCTTCCTATCCCATAGGCGGGTTGATTTCTCACCAGCATGCCTAGTCCTGAAAAGTCACTGCACATTACTGAATTTCACTGCACATTCTTTTGTCACAAGGACATTGTCTTAGACTCTAGTTCTGAAGTCATGCAAGCAGGCCAGAAAGGATTCTTTCCATTGGCTTTTGCTCAAAGCCAAACTGTGTGTGCTGGCAAGGGGAAGGGTTTATGTTATCCAGAATAGAGATGGCCTTGAACAAAACCCAGGATCTGAACTCTGGATTTGGCTCCAGCAGCCAGACTCTGCTCTCTGTTACAGCAGGGTAAATCTGGAGTAACTGCACCGATTGTTGCTGTTACACTGGATTTACCTAGTCTGTGTCACTACCATCGGCAGACCAAAACCCCTGGATCTTGCACGTTCAAAATTTGAATCTGAACTTGTGTTTGAATGATGCCTGGTACAGAGGTGAATGTATGCACCCAGACAGGATTTTGGTTCAGCTCCGTTTCTGCTACAGAAAGAGAGGGCAGCGCTAGAATAAACCTCCCGTCAGTGCTGGTGCACGAGGCCTCGCCCTAAAGGGATTGTAGGATGGCTGCTGTATCTCACGCCCCACAGTCACCATTAAAAAGTCAGCACTAGTCACACCGGGCCAGCTTGTGAATTCTGATAGATGTGCAGCAGAAGAAAAAGCTGTAAGGAGCCACCGTATCTCTTCGGGCTTGTGCCTGTGTTGTGAGAACCACCAGTAGGGGAGAGCAGGTACTGCAGGGTCAGGAGTGCTGAACTGAGTCTTAGATCTCCTTTTGCCCACCGAACATGCTGGACAGTGTGGCTAAGCTGGAGCAGAGGAGAAAGGCCAACCCAACGCACTTCCCACATGCAGCAGCAGGGGCTGGATTGGGACTCTGAGTAGCTGTTCAATTCCTGATCTGCTCCTGGGATTGGCCTGCCCTCTTTGCAGGGCTACACTGCAAGATTACACCCTAGTCCAGCATGTTAGCTGAGAAGCTTCCCCTAATACACAGCGAGACCTGGTGGGTGAGGTAATATCTTTTATTGGCCCAGTTCCTGTTGGTGAAAGAGCCAAGCTTTCGAGCTTACACGGAGCGCTTCTTCAGGTCCGGGAAAGGTACTCGGCGGGCCCGACCTGAAGACAAGCTCTGTGTATGCTCAACAGCTTGTCTGGTTCACCAACAGAAGTTGAGCCAATAAAAGCTAGTACCTCTCCCATGTTGTCTCTCTAATAACCTGGGCCCAACATGACTACACCAACACTGCAAACTTCCCTAATGCATGGACTAGGCGGCGACTGTGTGTCAACTCTGGAATGGCAACCACAGTACCTCTCTGCCTTTAGATTAAAATTTCAGACATTGGGAATGTGACAACAAATATATATCTGTATACATATATATATATATATACACACACACCTATACATATATAAATGATTAAAACTCACTGAAAACAAACAAACAAATGCATTCAAATAAAAATCAACCAAATCTATTTCATAAGCAGTTCACTTCTCTGGGAGCAGATAAAAGCTTTGGGTATGGCTAAGAGAGAAGCCGTCCCATTCATGAATAAAGATGTTAGGGTTATGAAGACAGGGCTACAGCCTGATACGGAAATGGGGCCGTTGGGACTTGTGAGACTTTGTTACAAAGTGAGAGGGAGTGCATGCCTTGCGTCCTTGGAGACTGGCTACAAGAAGTGATGGTGCAACGCATCTCTGAGAGCTAGAACGCCGAGCCGGAGCGTGTCTCTACGCAACAGGCTAAGGCCAACTATGCCCTGTAATTTCACACCGGCCAAGCCTCTACTGGGAAGTCTTTTACAGCAGTCCTTTGGCAATATTCTCATCGACCGTTGAGACCCTAGTTACTGAGGATGTCTTTAATCAGGGCCCTGAGACGCAGCTGGAATGTGCATGATTACAGTGGTGACCCTAAAAACATTTCCAGCTCTCTTTGTTACAGCAGCTTCCCCCCGGTATTGCCTGGACTCTGCTGCTGGAGAGGACACACCACATTAAAGGCCCCACTGGAAAACTTTCGAGGGTGGCCACTGTCTATGCTTTATTGCCTACAGCTGCACTATTAGGTGAAATTCACGCCCATGTAGTGAGCCAGCACAAGACGGTGTGACAGCTATTCCAACCAGAGGCGGTATTGTTGAAGACTGCTTTGTATTATATGTAGGAATGTTGTGGGTTAGGGGGTTCAGTTCTACTCCATGAAGGAGTTACCACAGCTACTACCGGGAGGGGATTACTGCAGGCCCTGGGATTGTAAACAGCTCCAGCAATGTACCACCCCCTGGGCTGGTTTGCGGGTACTGGTGCAAACAGGTACCAGAGGCCAAGGAGACAAAGAAAGGGCTTCTGGTATAAAAGGTCCAACTTGACTGGAAAGAGGAGGCCTTCCTTTTGATACAACAAATGGCCCTTACCTTTGATCCTCGGGGGGGACCCAATGCTACAGGAGGGTTGGAAGGACTAGAACCTATCAGGGTTCCCATAGGAATGACGGGTGACTTCTGGTATGAGGGAGCAAGGAGCATTTAGACCCCTTTAGTTATTATTGTTTTACATGTTTCCTTGAATAAATATGCTGTGCGTTGGATGAGCTGGATGGGCCCTGGTACAGCACTGCCATTGGCCTTGGAGAGAAAGCAAAGAGCACGGGGTGAACGGCAGTCACAGTGTGCACTAGCCTAAACTCCCTGCTCAGGAGGGAGTGGCTGGCAGGTCCCTGCCCAGAGAGAGGTGATGGCTAGGGTAGGCTTGAGATCTGAGTGGGTGTTTCTGCAACGGACCGGTTTCCCACTGAAATGGTGCATGCCCTCTGCGCTGGAAGAATTTCACCTGGGCTGAGTGCTCACGCAGCCCACACGAAATGCCCCAAGTCCTGTCCCAGGATGCACGGGGCTCAGGGAGTGACCTCCGAAGGAGGCTCTTAAGCTGCATTCGTAGTTCCTGATAGTGAGGGGACGTCATTGTGGGTGTTATGTTCAACTCAGTGGGCGTTTTGCCTGAGAAAAGACTGCAGGATGTTAAAGTTGACTGAGGAATTCTCTTGTATCTGAACATCCCCCTCTCTTCACTCCCCGTCCTCGCTTTTTATGCAGATTCCTTTCAACCCAGTAGTAACACAAAAGCATGCTGCAGTTCTTACTCTCTGGGATGGTCAAGCACTTCCTAGCATTTTACTCCACACAATGCACGTGGCTTTCTTGCCATGGCAGATTCATACTCGACTGGCTGTAGAATCAGGGCCCCTCCGCCATGCCCGCTCTTAAGACTACGCCATCTCCTATGGACTGTTGTTAAATCCAGGTTTGTGACTTCCTCCCATTGGAGTCAAGGGCAAAACTCCCACTGACTTCAATGGAGGAGGATCGTTCTTGTCACTATTGAATATTTATGACTGAGATTGGGGCCCGATTGTGTTAGGCGCTGTACAAACAGAGAGGTAGACATGGGCCTTGCCCCGACAGTGTTTACCATCTCAGGAAGATCAGGCTTTACACTACCCTGCTCACATGTTTTGTGTCACTCCCAGCGTGGGGGAGGGATTGCGACTCAGACACAGTTCCTGCTTGGGGCTGGTGCAGCTAAAGGGTTTCTCTGCCCCTCCCCTCACTCCTCTCATTTCATTGCTTTGTGCTTCCAGGGTCTTTCATAACGCTGCCCTTCCTTTCTTGTCTGCTCCTGTCCCTGCACCCAAGCTCTCACTTTTGCTCAGTCAGAGAGGCCAGCCATCTCCCTTTTGGTCATCGCCTCAGACAAACCTCTCTGCCTGCTTCTTTCGCACTGTCCCATCTGCAAGGGGCCCCTTCCCTGAAGTGACTCACAAGCGGCTTTCATCTCCTCTACCAAACGGACAACACCCCAGGGCTGCCACCACGCCATTGTTCTTTATTAGCGCTGGGCTCATCCCAAGCACTGCTGCTAAAACTTCTATACTACTCCGTACCATCCTGTCACCATCCAGCTAAACATCATACACCCAGC